GGGATTGAAGTTGCTAGATCACAATAAGGGATTGTATTGTCTCAAAGAAAATATACCTTAGACCTCTTATCAAAAATATGAATGTTGGCCTGTAAACCAGCTGACACACCTATGGAGATGAATCACAAGCTTGGCATATACCCGGATCAATCAAAACCTGACATTGGTTTATATCAAAGGTTAGTAGGAAGATTAATTTATCTTTCTCACACTAGACCTGACATTGCTTATGTTGTGAGTGTAGTAAGTAGATTTACGCATTCTCCTAGTGAAGATCACTTAAAAGCAGTATTTCGAATTCTAAGATATCTAAAGGGGTCACCTGGTAGAGGTCTTTTATTTGCCAAGCATAAAAAAGAGATTATAGAAGGGTATACATATTCAGATTGGACAAGTGATAGGACTACTAGGCAGTCCACTTCAGGATATTTTACATTTGTGGAAGGGAACCTTGTTACATGGAGAAGCAAGAAACAGAAAGTGGTGGCCAGGTCCAGTGCTGAAGCAGAATTCAGAGGTATGGCTTATGGTACATGTGAATTATTATGGATTAAAACCATGCTGAGTGAGTTGGGATTTAAAAACAAACAGCATATGAATCTCTATTGTGATAACAAAGCTGCCATGGAGATTGCACACAACCCTGTACAGCATGACAGAACGAAACATGTAGAAGTAGACAGACATTTCATCAAGAAAAAATTGGATCAACAAATAATCAGTACTCCTTATATCAGATCTGAAGATCAGCTAGCGGATGTGTTGACCAAGGCCGTTTCTGGAAAAAGTTTTAAGGAAGTAATTGACAAGTTGGACATGATAGATATCCATGCACCAACTTAAGGGGGAGTGTTAAAATTAGAAGTTGTTATCTGATTTAAATTTCTGTTTGTATAAGATTCTAGATAGAATTTGTTGATTTGTTTTTATTTAGTAGATATTTGTGGAATGTGCAGTTAGTTGTTCCTAAAAATTAGGATACTATTGCTGTATAAATATACCTCCAATTTGGAGATGAAAGCATGAATGAAAAGTCATAGGGTCTGTTTGATTGTGTTCTGATTTTTTTGTTCTTAAAACTGTTTTGTAAACTAGTTATGAAAACAGTTATTTTCTATATTTATTTTTTTTTGAAAGTTAAAAACCAAAACAAAAAACAAAAACACCTCAGATATGTTCTCTAAATTTGATTCTAAAAACAAAAAAAACAGTTAAAGTTTTCAAAACATTTTTTACAAAACAGGTCTTACCAAACAAATTTTTTTGTTTTTTTGTTTTTTTGTTCTGAAAACTTAAAAACTATTTATAAAAACACTAATCAAACAGAGTCATATTTACCGGTTCTTGTGTTTATGAGTGTTTTAGTATGAGTTTTGAGAGGTACGCACAAAGGCATGGGCTTTCAGAGTTGCGGGCGGGAATTGGATTCATCAACCTTCGGTCTTGATTCACGTGCATTGTTGCTTTATAGAGTTGCAAGAGGAGATGTTTTCCCTTTCTACATATGCTCGAGTACAAGAGGCGGGTATTAGAATAATTGGTGACATACTCGAGTATCAGGTGGCCAGGTGCTATAGTCAAGTATAAATCCATCAGTTATATAATCAGTTTTAACCCACAAAATGTACTCAAGTATATTAATTGCGTATTAAGGCAAATTGATGTTATATTTAAAGGAAAGATAAAAAATTTATGGATTTAATATTTTTGTTTTTGTTGCAAAAACAAAAAATTTCTGTCACAATCATATAAAAAAGAGCGAATTCCATAAATCTATTTTTTATATAATTTAAAAATGGGGAGACAGTGATAATTTTTTCTTTAATTAGAGGAACAATAGTCAAAATGCCAAGAAAGAATCCTTTATTTTTTGTAGTTGTCATTGCTGTAAAATAACAATTAATAAAGAAATGATATGTTAAGTTCTTTAGTTTTTTATACGTTTACAAATTAAATCATTAACTGAACTGTAAATCTCTACTTACCTTATTCATTTTTACTGAGATGTTACACGTTCGTTGAATTTGTTTACTACCACGATGTTTGAAAAAAAAATTAGTTTCATATAAAAAAAAATAGGGATTAATATTTCTCATATTTTAGGAGATAAAATTATTTGTTACACATACATAAAAATATATAAGGTCTATGTGAAGAGAGAACGAGAAAACATGGGCCCTGCATATTTTTATGTGTGTGTAGGAGATAAAATTATCTTCTACAGCATAAAAAATACTAATCTCCCAAAAATAATAATAATAATAATCTAGTTTCATAATTCTAGTACATTGTAGTTTCATGATTTTATGACTTAGCTTTAGATGGCTTTTCTTTTTTGTAGTTTATATATGTTTTAAAGATAAGATATTTTATTACCAAAATTTTTTATTATATTCTATTATCACTCTAATTATCATTGGATTCAAATGTTATTTTTTTTTTCTTTCACTTTATTCAACTTTTTCTGAAATCCAATAATAATTAGAATAATAATGAAGTAATAGTAAAAAATTTAATAATAAAAATATCCTGTTTTAATCTTTGACGTCTGCACGATAGTATTGTAATAACTCATGCCACACGAGCAAACACCACCAAAGTGTTTGGTAACTTTATTGATGGAAAAACTCCAATATCCTTCAACTTCAGTTGTTGCCTTGTAATCATTGTACTTACATAATAAGCAGTATCAACTAACTTATATTAAGTTAATCAGCCTTCTATTGAATACGTCTTCAGTTTAGAATCTTTCCCCGGCTTCCTGTTGGCATCTCGGATATTCTTAACACTGCGGTTGAATCTGGCCACAATTGACCAGATTTATTAATTAAAATTATTGATATAAATATCCTAAAAATAAAAAATGTATTTTTTGACTAGGGATTTGACTAGTGGCCTATTTTGACTTTTTGACTTTCAACTTTGCTTGAAGATTTCGAATAATTAAAAATATGTAACTCTATTATATGTTATTTTGTTAATTTATAGAATATATTTTTAAAGAAATAATTTATATCATACAACCCTAGAACGGTATGATTTTGAATTTTGGTAAGAAAAATGCAGGACAATTTTAAAAAAATTACTTCTCTCTTGCATTGATTTTTTTCAAAACCCAACTCTTAAATAATATTATTCTTTTTTACCATAAGAGATAATTTTATCTTGTGTAATAAAAAATATATTAACAAATAAATATTTTTTATCATTCAAACCTTTTACGATAAAGATTGGTTATCCTTAACAAATAATAGGAGCTTTTTATGTGATTTATTTCTTATTTCAGTGATAAAATAAAAGGTCTATATCAAAAAATATATTACGATTTTCATACCTATACCTTCCTTTACTTGCAGTTATAGATGGACCTACATGGAGTTAGAATGGACCCGGGCCAACCTAAAATTTGGAGAAAATATTATTAATATGTGGTAATCTATCAGCATAATAAGATCGAAAGAAAATGATTGTTTCTTGTGGCTTGTGCATAGTAATAAATATTTTATCATAAATATGAATTTGAATAATTTCATGTCTTACTTTTCTAGTTATATACAATTTTGGAAATGAAAATACACCAACATGTAAATACATCTTATTCACAAACACCTTGCTATGTTGGCAAGGAATGTTCTCTATCATTTTGACTAAAAGCGTTCCACTAATTTTTTTCATTATTGATTTTTTTGTTTTAATATTAGAAAAAAAAAATAGCATGTTGGTGTTTGTGTTAAAGCTCAAGTTTTCTCTATTTATGTTGCTTTCGCCTTTCGATTTAAATTCTAAACACATATTGTGTTTTGATTTTTTTAATTTTATTTTATTTTAGACTTTTACTAATCATCCAACTTACTTACTAATGCCAAAAAAAAAAATTGGTAGATAGTTTGGAGATATTCCTACACAACCTCATTCAACTACTTTACCCTCATAATATGGCCCTAAAGCTGGCTCCTTAGTGAAACAGAGGGTGCATTGTACCACTGTCACTGGAGACAAAAAAATTATAATACATTTTACGAAAATTTTACAAAAACTATAGCAAAAAAATTTTATATCTAAAATAATTCTGTAATTTTATTAGGTTCTTCCTAACAGCAATTTTTACGTCTTTACCGTGATCATTTCAACTAAAATTGACATTGTCTTCTCATAATAATAATAATATAAATTTTGTCCTCTGTCATATAATTTTCTAAGTCTGCCATTACTTACAATGTAATTCCTCTCACAATTTGCAAGGTCATATAATTTAAAATATTTCATAAGCTTCTACTATATATGCCACGTTCTTACCAAGGAGGCTAATCTTTTGTCTTTAGCACTCGGAAGCTCTTGCTTATACCCCTCAAACATGCTTCGTGAAGTCCTTGTAAATAGGAATGTAAATGGGTGAGCCGGTTTAATAAAGTCGTATGTAAATGGGTGAGCCGGTTTAATAAAGGCTAAGACTTTGACTTACATCAAGTTAAATTCTACCAAATAGAAAAGGCTCAAATCTAAAAAAAATCTATTTAAAAACAAGCCACAAGCTTTTTTATATGTCAGGCATATAAGTTACGGCCTGCCTATATCATATTATCTATTTTAAATAATAAAGTAATATTATTTTAATTATTTTTTTCAATTATTGAATATCTAATTGGCTTAAACAGACTAACAAATCTACGTCAAAGCTTTTATTTTCTAAATATGGGTCGTGTCAAACTTATAATCTAAGTCTATACAAGACTAAGAGACTAGGCTTAAATTATTTTACACAGACCTGACTCCTTAAGGTACAGCCTAGAATAACCCAAACTATTTACACCTCTACTTATAAATAATATTCCAGTATTTATTTGCATATGATCAACACTTAGTGAGGTTAATTTGGTCATCCTGCTGACCCTTCTCTCTGTTATTTTCTTAATGAGGCTTGGGTCATGTCCAAGTTGCCCCATGTATTAATAGGCACAAGGAGTTCAAAAAATTGACTGAAGATATCAAAATAAGTAAGATTATATAGTATGCCTTTGTTCACTCTGGTCATTTGTTAGAGCCTTCGTACAGGGGAGGGAGGATGGGTACGCTGCTTCCAACCTCAACGGCAGCTCATGAAACATCAGAGAATCGAAATGCTTCGCAACAACTTCACCCCCAAAAAGATATTGATGCAGGCGCTCTATTTGTCCTCAAATCAAAAGGTAGTAGTGATCATTTATATAATACAGTTCTTAAGTCTCCTTACTCTGTTTATTCTTTTATGGAACATTATATACTTGTGATTCTTGTCCTTGTTTCTTTCTTTTATCCCACCTTTTCCTTCTGCAGAATATGTTAGCCCTTTCCATCACCTTAGTAATTCAAAAACAACCAGAAAGACCAGGAAATATATGCATCGATGAAGGCTTTTAAAAAGCTATCAAAAAATGGACATGTTTCTTCATGTAAACCAACCCCACAATTACACAAAGGAATTCAAAGAAGTATAATATAAAATTATTGAAAGTTTGTTATTTAATAATTTAAATTTTTAAGTGAAATGATTATTTATTATATTATCAAAGACTGAGTTACTACGTTATCATAAGTTTGATCCTGATTCAAGTTTCAAATTCAAAAAAAATTTGCACAAAAATATATATTAAAATGATATGATATAAAATTATTAAAAACTCGTTATTTTTTTAAGTGAAATGGTTATTTATGGTGCGCATGACAACCTTTTTGGAATCAATTTTTTTTATAGTTTCGGTTTCTGAAAACAGAAATGGATAGAAAACTCGTTTGGTAAAATCAATTTATTTTTTTGTTCCCGGTATGAACCGGATTAATTTTTGTGCTAGGGAACAGAAAAAAAAAATCAAAAAATTTCTGTTTTTTTGTTCCCGGACACAAAATGAAAAACATTTATCTCTCTTAATCACTCTCCATCTCTACCATCATCACTACCACCATCATCATCCCAACATGACCACTGCCACCATCATCGTCGCCGTCGTCGTACCCACCCCCCACCACCACGATGCTCCGCCACCATCACCACCACCTCTACCCATCACTACCACCATGCCACCATCACCACCATTACAACTACCACCGCTGCAACCACTACCACCACTATCACTGTCACCGTCACTGTCACCACCATTATCACCACTACCGCCATCAACCACCACCACTATCATCGCAACCACTGCCTCCACTGCCACCATCACCCTCATCACGCCACTGTCTCAACCACCATCGTCACCACTACTACCACCACAACGCCACCGCTATCATCACCAACCACCACTATCATTGTTGCAGCCACCACCGACATCGCCGCCTCCACCAACCACCACCACCATTACACCACCCCCTCCACTACCATCACCACCACCACTGCCACCACCACTGTCACCTTCCACCACCGCCGCAGCCACTGCCACCACCACCACCTCCATGATGTCATCACAACCACCACCACCATGCCACCGCTACCATTGTCGCCGCCACCAACCACCATTATCGCAGCCACTGTCGTCACATCCACCACCATTACCGCCACCATTACCGCCACCATCGCCATAGCCACTGTCGTCATAACCACCACCATTATCATCACCACGTCACTGCCACCACTATCGCCGTACCGCTGCCGCCGCCGCCGCCACCACCACAACCACACTATATGGAAAGGAAAGTGATGATCCGAATTTTTTTTATATTTAATAAGATTTATTTTTTATTATATTGTTTATGGTGTTCTGAAACGCAATTCTCATTCTCGAAATAAAAATAGAACATGTTATCAAACACATTTTTTTTCTCAGAAACTGTTACAAGGAACAGAAATAGAAAGGAATTGTTTCTTTTCAGAAATAATGCTAGGAAATAGAAGGGTTGTCATACACACCCTTAGTAAAGAAAATGATCTGTTTATAAATTTTTTTACAAATTGCATTAAGTATGACCGGTCATACACTCTTGATTGAAGTATGACCGATCATACTTAATGTTATTGGTAAAAATTTGTATATATAACATTTTTCAATTAACAATACTATTCCCTTTTATGTTGTTACCTATTTCAAGAATCATGAGTGCTAATTTTAGTAGCAGGCTTTCTATGATTTCACCATAAATCATTTCGTTGTCGAGTGTCCTCCCTTTTAACTTTGATGGACGGAAAATTTGATACAATTTTTTTTGTTTTTTTTGTACAAATTTGATACAATTTTTGTCTGGCTTGTTTGAATAATTGGAGCACATGGGGTGTGATAAAAACAAAAGTAGATTGTCAGCAGAATTATAAAATGGCTATATAATATAGTATTATAAATGTGATTTTGTAGGATCTTGGCTGCACGGTGGTTACCATTTGACAACATCAATTGTGGGTCCACCTCTCCTAAGTCTTCCATATGCTTTCAAATTCCTTGGATGGACGGCTGGAATATTTTGCCTAGTGATTGGAGCTCTTGTCACTTTCTACTCCTACAATTTAATGTCTCTTGTTCTTGAGCACCACGCTCAGTTGGGTAATCGTCAGCTACGATTCAGAGACATGGCTCGCGACATTTTAGGTACCACACGTTACTCACCATCTCATTCATTTCATTTGCCAGTTAAGCCATTTAAACTGAAAGTGCCTTAGGACTGCAGCTTTATAGATAAAAAAAAATATAATTATGTCAAAATATGTTAATAACTTAATATGATTTAGGTAATACAAAGCTGGTTAAAAGTATTAAATACGATAAATAAATAAGTATCAACGATCAAATTACTAGTTAAACATCAAGCGCCAGAGAAATAATTATATATATGTTCGTTTTTTCTGCAGTAAATACAGATAAGTTATCTGCATTGAGCCCAAAGCGATATCGTTTTGAGACAGAAATCAAGGTGTTTTTAGAGTTATAATAATTTTTGTAATTATAATTCTTTAATATTTTAATATCAAAATGATGTCATTTTGAAAGTAAATGCAGATAACTTATATACAGTAACTATAGAAATATTTTTCTGATATATATATGGTCTTTGTATTTCTCATTAACATGAAATTACAAAAATTCCTACACATACATAATTTAAATGGGTCCCACCATAAAAAAATTAAAAAATATATATATATTACACATAAAACGATCTCTCACTAATATGAGAAAACAATTTTTAGGAGAAAGTATTTTCCGCATATATATATATATATATATATATATATTAACATAATGTCAACACCTTATATACTCTTTCATTATTGAAATTTTTTTAATTCTTTATCATTTAGTTTTTCGAACTTTTCATCTTCCACCCTTTAATTTCCTTAACTTTAAATATAATTCACAAAATTTAAAATACAAATACTCTATGAATAACAATTCAAAATAAGACAAAAATATCGTGTTTGTGAATTAATTATAAAACAAAAATCAAGTATAACTCATATATCATAATCTTTGAATTTGAACAAAAAAGGCAAAATTAATGTTGAGCATAACTAAATACATTTTAATATTTATTAGAGGATAAATTAAATTTTATTTATTTAAAAATAGAAAAAAAATCATGTTGTTTTATAAAAACAAAACTCTTGCTTATTTAATGATGCAATACCTATTTTTTTATTTTTTAGTATATATTTAGATAACCTTAGTAATTTTAAATTTTAAATTTCTTAAGTAAAAATAGGAAAACGAGGGGTGTTCGCGGTCTGGATTGAATCGGTTTTAGAAGTAAAAATCATCCAATCCAATTCCTTCGATTTGATCATATAATCATCCATTCTCTTTGGATTTTTTTTCAAATCCGATCCGATCAAATCCAATTTTTTTCGATTTGGATTAGATCGGTTTTCGGTTTGGATTGGATCGATTTTCGATTTTTGAAAATCCTAAAATTTATTTCATGATTATTGTGCAAATAACATCTTTTGTTATATTGGCTTTGTAAAAAAAAAAAATTTGAATACAAAAGCATTAGTAAATTATAATATAGTTTTATTTTTTGGACAATGAGATATGAAGCTCCACAAAAATAAAATTTTGTTGATGAGATGTAACTAGATTTTTTCTTGGGTTTTAGTTGATGGGTTAATGGATCTTGAGTTTAAAAAATTTTGAGCTATGATTGCGAAAAGACCCAAGTAAGTAGAGGGGAATTAATATATTGAATCGGTTTGGATTTGATCGGTTTTCATCGACCCATCCAAAAACCGATCCAATCCAATTAAAATTTGCGATTTTTTTTAGTTTTTGGTTTTTCGATTTTCGATTTATTCGGTTATCGATTTTTCGGTTCGATCACCACCGTTTGAATCGGTTTGGATCGGTTGATGAACATCCTAGGAAAAAGCACCTGAATAAAATACTTTTAAAATATTATAATTTTAAAATATTATAATATATAAATAAATATATATATATATATATATATATATATATATATATATATATATATATTCTGTAAGTCATAAAGGTAGTAAATAATAATTTTATCTAATAATAGTTATTTATTAGATGTGATAATAGATTTATATGTGAAACAACTAATAGTAGTAATTTAAGAATATTAAAATTTAATTAAACCAATAAAAGTAGATGTGAATTCGCCCACCAACATGTACAGCGACTCTCGCATCGCCACGCGCACGCTCACGATAGAAAGAAAGAGAGGCACCGCCTCGGCTTTTTTTTTTTTGGTAGAAGAGAGGCACCGCCTTTACTGTATAAAAAGTTGAGGGCTTTTTCTATTTTCCATGTTTGTGAGGAGAGACATCTGCATTACAAGCGTCATTCCTTTTTAGTCTGCAAAATATACAAATTTTAAGTTTTAAAACAGCATGAGCCAGCTACATTATAGCCCAGATCAACCACTTTATGTCATTGTATTTGGAAAAAAAACGACTCAAATTGGACTGAAAATATTAATTTGAAACAACAAATAATAATAATAATAAATCGTATTAAATATTCAAAAAAAAAATTATAACATTACCTTCATTATTTACCTTCATTATTTTATTCAATTATATTTAACTATTATATATGTTTAACTTCAATATTATTATGACCATCAGGTTTATATTAATAATAATATTATATATATTAACTCTGTAAAATTATATTTTTTAATAAAACAATAAGTAAAATTTTATATACAAAACCTGTTACCAAAAAAAAAACTATATACAAACCTAGTTAGCTCTAAACTTGTAATTTTCATCAAAATTTAGTAAAACTTACATGATAACAGATAAAGTGAGAGAGGCGTGGAAGCAACGGAAAATTCTGAAATCTCATTTATTGCATCGTTGTTGAATGTTGACCTTTACCTATACATGCAGATTTCAAAATGAAGCCCCACTGTCGGGACCACATACTATCGGAGAGATACATACAAGTCAGTCTTGTTATAAATAAGAGAAAAGAAAAATTAATGGGATCTAACCACTTTTTATGAATCTGTTAGAAAAAATATTTCTATATGTTTTTTTTTTTTTTTTTTTGGAAATAATTCTATATGTTACATTCGGTCACTTGTAGGATCAATGGCTATCTGCAAAAATCAACACAAGATATTTTAATGTATTTTATTATCATTCATATATTTTTTTGAGAAACTTCTCAGGATCACCTATCCAATAATTGCTTCAAGTCAAACACGTTAAATTATGAAGTTCTTAAGTTATGGACTATCAAAAAATATATATATCTTGTTAATATAGGTAATACATATTAATTCATTTAAGCTATCCTTTAACTATACAACCTCTGGATCCCTCTCGTTCGGACGTTGATTCGATTCATTCATGTACTCTTCCCACTGAAAGTCTGTCAAGACTTTTCAACATGTTTTGTCCTCACTCACACACTTCCTGAGAAACTTCTTAGGAGGTCACCCATCCCAAAATTGTTTCAAGTCAAGCACGCTTGACTTTGGAGTTCTTAAGTTATTGGCTATCGAAAAGTAGATGCATCTTATTAATATAGGTAGTACAGATTAATTCATTTAAGTTATCCTTCAATTATACAGTTATAGCCTTTGGATCCATGTTGTTCGGGTGTTGATTCAATTCATTCATGTATCCCTTCACTGGAAACCTGTCAAGAGTCGCTCCTTATTCGTGCCTCATCTTTTTTGCACTGGGGATCATTTCTCACCCTCGTCAACATCCAATACATTACAGTGTGCTTCTTAATATATATTTGTTTTTCGGTAAAAAAAATTTGTTGTTACACTTTCATATCCAATGTGAAGATAAAAAGTTAATAAAATTCACTAATTTTTATGTTAATTAAGCCAAAAAAAATCTCTAGTAAAAATAAAATCATTAATTATATATATATATATATATATATATATATATATATATATAAAAGTTTAGTAAATAAATATGTATTTATTTTTTATTTTAATAAATTAAGTTCTAATATAATATAAATTAAATAAAAAAATATGCATTCTTCCTCACAAATTTTAAAAATAAATTTACTTTAAATAAGATATATCTCACATGTTTGGTCCCTTGTTAAATCTTTATTTCCTAACAAGTTGTGATAATGCCTTGTAATATTTAATCAATGTTATTAAATCCGAACTAGTCATCGACTTGGTCGAAATAACGGATTAATAAGTCACTGATTGAACTACTTAAATTGAATTTATGTAAAAACGTATAATACATTTATAAATAAAAGTAATATGAAAACTAAAGTAATTTGGCTTAGTGGTTAATATTTCCTTCCTTTTCCCGTAAGTGCTAATTTTAAATCCCAATAGTGCAATGACGGTGAAATATTTTAGCAAAGTACTTTTGCCTTATTGAAAATTTTCAAAAACTGGTTCAATCAGAATAGCGGTATCTATTAACCCCGGTTAAATCTAGTTTTTGATCGGTTCTTGACTGGTTACATGTATGACCGATTAATTATCCTATTTCCGATTCAACCGATCCGGTCGGCCAAGTCGAGACGATTTTAATAACAGTAATTGTCGGACCGGTTAATAATTCGGTTTCAGTTCAACCGTTCCGACAATAACACTAATTTAATAAGTAAAGCTTCTTATAGATGGTCTAACAAATTAAAAAGAAGTTGATGCATATTGGCATACACTACACACAAACAGAGGAAAGAGTCAGAACCTATGTATTGTATTTGGGAAACCCAAATGATCCCATGTAAACACATCAATGTCCTCACTTCACTTCACTGGATGATGAATATGGAAATGTTTAAGTTCTAAGCCCAATTCGTGTGGGCCAGTTAATGCTTATGGCACTTATGTAATATTACTAACCTTGGCAGGTCCACGATGGGGTCGTTATTTTGTGGGGCCAATTCAGTTCGCACTCTGTTGTGGTGCTGTAGTTGCTTGTGCTCTGTTGGGAGGACAAAGCATGAAGGTTATCTTGAACTTCTTATCACACATATTAATAGAAACAAACATTTGAACTCAACCATGTTCTTACCCTTTTTTTATTTTTCCAATGGATTCAACTGCAGCAAATTTACCTGCTGTCAAACCCAAATGGGAACATGAAGCTTTACGAATTTATAGTCATATTTGGATGCTTCATGCTGGTTTTGGCTCAAATCCCATCTTTCCACTCGTTGAGGCACATTAGTCTAGTGTCTTTGGTTCTGTGCTTAGCCTATAGTGCTTGTGCTACTGCTGGTTCCATATGTATTGGTATTTGCTTAATCTACTTCCCTTCTTTTGTATTGCACTTTATGCTTGACAAATGAATAAATTGTTTATTGATATGAACTATAACAATATCACCACAGGAGACTCATCTAAAGGACCAGAAAAGGATTACTCTTTGCAAGCTGATACAGAGAATCGCTTATTTGGAATCTTCAATGCTATTGCCATTATTGCCACAACTTATGGAAATGGAATACTTCCAGAAATTCAGGTCTGAAACAGTTCCCTTCAAGCCATCAAAATATTTGATGTAGTTAAAAATAACTCATTTCCTTTCATTGTGTGTTTGGTCTTGCATTTTCTTTGGTTGCAGGCAACATTAGCTCCACCTGTGAAAGGGAAGATGTTCAAAGGACTATGTGTTTGTTATGCTGTACTAATATTCACTTTCTTTAGTGTAGCCATATCTGGTTATTGGGCATTTGGAAACCAATCTGAAGGCCTCATCTTAAGCAACTTTGTGGACAATGGAATGAGTTTGCTGCCCAAGTGGTTTGTTTATATGACCAACATTTTCACTATAGCACAATTATCAGCAATTGGTGTGGTAAGTAACACACTAACACTCCCATCATCACCACCAAACCCCAATATATTTCCCATAGCATTAAACTCTATGAACAAGTGGACTAGAATTTGATTATTGACACAAAATTCTTAATAAATAATATGGAATATCTTAGCACAAATTATATGGATTTATGCATTGTGGATACTTCAAGCCAAAAGAACTCTGCGTGAAGGATGTTAAAATATACATATAACAATCATTTACTTTCATCTAATAGCTCAAGCTTTTGGAAGAGTTAGTTAGCTAATGCATCTCAAGTAACCATTGAATTGTAATGCAGGTCTACATGCAGCCCACAAATGAAGTGTTGGAGCAAACATTTGGGGACCCAAAAAGCCCTGAATTCTCAAACCGCAATGTAATACCCAGATTGATTTCTCGGTCATTAGCTATTGTTGTTTCAACCCTTATAGCAGCCATGCTTCCATTTTTTGGCGACATAAGCTCGGTTCTAGGTGCTTTTGGGATTATGCCACTTGATTTCATTTTGCCGATGATTTTCTTCAATTTGACATTTAAGCCATCTAAGCGAAGCCCCATTTTCTGGTTGAACGCAACTATTGCTGTGGCTTTCTCTGCAGTGGGAGCTATAGCAGCAGTTGCAGCTGTTAGACAGATAGTTCTTGATGCCAAAAGTTACAGATTATTTGCTAATGTATGATCACATTGAGCTATTTTATGAAGTTTGCCTTCTCTATAATTCTTATCTAAGTTTTCATATCTTCCTTTTTCCTAGAATATTCTCTATTATTTTAACCACTGTCAACTTTGCTATCTCAGTTTTCTGGGGTATCCTAGAATGTACTGTTTCAAGATGAAATTATGGTTGATAAGAAAAAATAGTTGAGTAACTGTTGTGAGATGAATTATTGTGGACACTGATGAATTATTGTGGACACTGATGTCAACAATATAATGTACTTACAACACAGCTACTTCAAGGGATCGAAACCAAACTGATCATGTCCTCTTTTCAAGGGTATTTTTTATGGACATGAATCTTATAATTAAACTCAGGATCCCCATGCCTAAAGAACTCGAGTCACTTTCGTTTAGATCCAAAATAGTTGGATGGACGGAAATCATCCAAGAAGTAAGACTAATCTTACACCAGAGTCAAAAGATCTTTCCTCTATATATTATTTTCATATTATACTATTTCAATAATATCACAAGTCATAATTAAATTAAACATTTTTGCACTAACAACATATGTTTATGTATTTTTTTCACTTAATATTTTAATGAAAAATAATTTTATCAGACTAAACTAATTATATATATATTTGATATAATTATTATTAAACTTGCTCTAAAATAATTTGTTTTTAATTTTTCATTCCTCTCTTTGGTTTCTCTCTTTAAACTCAAGTCATGTTTTGACAATGACAAGGAGATATTGGGGTGATATTGGAGAAACTGTAGTGGAGGCATTGCACAACAAAGAGAGAGAGAGAGAGGGTTTGGGTGTTGAGTGATAGTGGAGAAAGCAGTGGAGGCATTGTGCAACAAAGTGAGGGTTTGAGTTTGGGGCTTTGAGAAGCTCCAAGGAGAAGAAGCCCACAATTGGATCTAGGTCTTCTGGGACGGAGGGTTCAGATGAGAAATATATGACTGTCAAGAGTGAAGGTTCTATCTCAGTTTTTTTCATTAAATTAAAAGTTTGTGCCTTACACAGGTGTTGGATGGAGATGGTAAATTTGGTTTTGTATGTTTTGTGCTGTGAGACAAAAAATTATCCCATAATTTGGCAGGGATAAATATTTTCAATTTTGTCCAATACCTCACCCTTAGTTTGTCCTCTCCCAAGATCATTTTTAACATCAAACATTGGACAAAGAGTTTTGTTGTGTGTCTAGTGCTTTGTTTTAAAGCAAATCATAGGAAACCTAACAAACATGAGACTCATTGTATGAAATAAAGCATGAAATGGAATTAAAACAAGGAACATAATAGTCAAAAAGGAAAATAAAATAAATCCAATTACAGCATCTGCAATTATTTCCTTTTCTATTACTGTGATCACTAATGATTTATCTTTCACCTACGAAAACTAGATGAACAACTTTTAAAGTCAGACACTAGAAAAATTTTGCCCCTAACATAGGCAAGAAAAAATAAATTTGCTCCCCATACTGAAAGCTTGAAAGAGACTATAATAGAAAATTTTATATCTGAGGGACACTGGCATCGACATATTCAGACATTCTTTGGTCTTTGATGGGCTTCAGGGTCTGGCAGTTCATGTCACCACCACAATTAACAGAGGCAGAGTGCATATCGTTATCTGCAGCAATGATATTATCTGACACTTCATTAGTTGTTGCAGCAATGACATTATCAGGCACTTCATTAGTTGTTGGTGGAATAACATTATCTGCTAATTCATTAGTTGTTGCTGGAATGACATGATCTGGTTCTACATTAGTTGTTGCTGTTGGCCTAAGTCCTGATGTTGGTGAAGGGAAACTCCGTTCACCTTCAATCAACTTAGGAACTTTCAGGTCGACCCTCACTGAATCTGGATTACCCGGCATATTGGGAGCAGTAGAAGATCCAGATAAGCACCTTCTCTTGATTTGCTTACTTATGTTTTGCTTGAAAGTGGCCATAACAAGCTGATGGACGAAGATAATGATCAACAATAAATAAAATATAGTACATAGAACAAAATTCAACTACCTTTTCAACTAAAAATGCAAGGAATTAATTCTCAATATGTTGGGGAGCCTTAACTGCAAGTTGACATCTAACTCTACTCCTTTAAGATATAGAATTTCCTAAGTGTTAGGATAGGATGACAATAAGTGCTTACCTATTATCTTTGTACATGTCAATTCATACAAAAAAAATGTGATACTATTGGTCATCAAATATTATAATGATTCTGGTCCTTCCGGAAAGACACACCCTTTGGATTCTCCAATACTTACATCCCACAGATTAAATGTTATACTCAGTAAAATCAGTAAAAAAAAAGGTTTCCAAGATTATGCCTAGAAGCAGCACTATGGAAGCATTGCTGCTAAGTGCTAGCTATTAGCAAGCCCAATGAAGGTTACCAAATACCAATCATCAAAAGGAAAGTACAAAGGTTTTACATAAGTTCATCTAGCTTTGACAAGTTTTACATTTTGGCAACCGGTGAGAATGTATCAAAGAAATCAACGCCTTCCATTTGCGTGTACCCTTTGGCAACGAGCCGTGCCTTATACCTTTCAATTGTACCATCAGCATGATGTTTTATTTTGTAGACCCATTTGCATCCAACCACATGTTTATCTACTGGTTTGTCAACAAGTATCCAGGAATCATTTTGCTCTAAGGCAGAAATTTCATCTCTCATAGCCTTTTGCCAATGCTCATATTTACTGGCTTGAGCATATGATCGTGGTTCAACATGGGTGAATGTGTTGAGACAAAAACGAGTATATGTGGGAGAGCAATTTTTATAAGACAAAAATTGAGATAAAGGAAAATTGGTGGTACCTGAGGAAGATTGAAAAGCTGATGTAGTAGAGAGGCTGCAGTGAAAATCCTGTAGATAGCGTGGAGCAGCTTTAATGCGACCAGAGCGACGTGGCTCAACTGTTAAAGGCACTGATGAATCAATGGCAGAGTTGGTAGGAAGGGAAGAGGTATCAATGGCAGGTGGATGAAGAGCATCAGTAGTGGGTGATGGGTTGGCTTCAAAAGGTAATGGAAGTAAGGTGTCAAGATAGGGTGGATTTGAAATTGGATCAGATGGTTGGTTTGGTTCACTGTTGCTCTTAACATGAAAAGGGAATAAATTTTCATAAAAAATCACATGGCGTGAAGTAAAAATTTCCCGTGAGATTAGATCATACAAAATATATCCCTTAACACCTTCTTGGTAACCAATGAAAGCACATTTTCGAGATCTTGGGGAGAACTTGTGTCGTTGGGAAGAAAGGGTACTGGCATAGGCTAGGCAGCCAAAGGTTTTGAGGTGCAGTAAGGTTGGTGGCATGTTATATAGGATCTCATAAGAAGACTTATGTTGTAATAAAGGGGTACTCAATCGGTTGATAATGTGAGCTGCATGGGCAATTGCATAGCACCATAATTTTGGAGGCAGTTGTGCTTGGAAATAAAATGCTCTAGCTACATTCAAGAGATGTTGATGTTTCCTCTCAACTCTTCCATTCTGTTGTGGAGTTTCCACACAACTCTTTTGATGGATAATCCCTTTCTTTTGGTAAAATTCAGGCATGATGAACTCAAGTCCATTATCACTTCGAAGGACTTTGAGTTTGGTATTAAACTGAGTCTCTATGTAAGCAATGAAATTATGCAGATTTTGTCTGACTTCTGCCTTAGATTTTAGTAGAATAATCCACACAAAACGTGAGAAATCATCTACAAGAGTGAGGAAATATCTATGTCCACGAATTGAAGGGATACCATATGGTCCCCAAATGTCAGCATGAAGCATATCAAAAATTGCTTTAGAATTTGTATTACTAGAAGAAAAAGGTAACTTGCGTTGTTTGGATATATGGAAAATATCACAGGGTTTTACATCAGCACAAGGAATAAAGGGAAACTTAATGGACATCTGTTTCAGAATTGGAAAAGAAAGGTGTCCTAAACGAGAATGCCAAAGTCTTGCATTGTTTTGATCAGAAACAGTAAAAACTGTATGCATCCCATTATGAGAATACTCTGACTTATTTTGAACAATATGGCTTGCTTGCTCCTTGATTAGCACATACAGCCCCTCCCTTGCCTCAGCTATACCAATCGTCCTCTTGGTGTTGGCCTGTTTAATGTAGCAATGGAATTTGTGAAAAGTCAGATAACATGGAATAACTGACACAAGTTTGGATACAGAGATTAAATTGACTTTAAATTCAGGAACATAAAGCACATCTAATAATGTGAGAGAATCAGACAAATGTACAGAACCAGAAAGGGTAGTTACCACACGTGTTCCATTTGGCAACATAATGGATATAGGTGAAATTTTATGTGTGGAAGAGAATTGTGAAAGTATTGGACAAATGTGATCCGTGGCCCCAGTGTCAAGAAGCCAATGGACAGATGTATTACTTGGTTGGTTATTGTTTAAAGGAAGGAGAGAGTTTGAGTTCATGGCTACAGCTTGAACCAAATTAGTTGAATGGGTGACTTCTTCACGGGTAGATGAATGTAAATGTTGGCCATGTAACAGATCAATAAGCTGTTGATACTGCTCCTGTGAGATAGTGAGTCCAGCTTGAGTATCATTAGCTGTTCTATGTTCAGAATCACCAAGTTGATCATAATTGGCTGCACTGCGAGGTTTCAAATTGGATGTTCTGTATCCTGGAGGATAGCCATGAATCTGATAGCAAGTCTCCACAGTATGGTTGAGTCTACCACAATGTGTACACACCTTGCTTCCACGATTATTGGTAGAACCAGCATGACCATTGCTTCTAAATCTTGCTTTGTCAGCAGGAGCATATCTTTTTCCAGTGCTCGAATTTCCAGCAAAAACTCGTGAATCCATGGATGAGTTTCCATCATGTTGAAAATGCCTTTCTTGTTGTACTACAAGAGAAAATGCTCTACTTACATGTGGAAGAGGATCCACCATCATGATTTGTGACCTTACATGAGCATATTGCTCATTTAAGCCTTTAAGAAACCTCACTGTATGATCTTGACTTCGATAGTCTCTTACCAGAGTGATGGCACCACATGTACATGGAGTTACACATCGACAGGAAGGCAAAGGCCTCAAATTATCTAGCTCATCCCAAAGCTTCTTCAATTCAGTAAAATAATCGGTGATACTTAGCTCACCTTGTTGAAGTTTGTAGACATCTTCTTGAATATCTGACATCCTGAAGATATCTGACTGACGAAAACGATCTCTAAGATCATTCCAAGCTTCGAAAGCACGATCAATCCAAAGGATGGATTGCTTAATGGAATCATTGATTGATCTATGGATCCATGCAAGAACCATAGTATTGCAGCGTTGCCAAGCCAAGAACATAGGATCTGTGGCATCTGGTGGAAGTAGAGAACTATCAATGAAACTGAGTTTGTTCTTTGAAAGAAGTGCCATACTCATGGCTCGCGCCCAGGAATGGTAGTTCCTCCCATTCAGCAATGGAGTAACTAGCACCAAGGAGGGGCTTTCATTCGGATGTATGAAATAGGGATTTGCAGGATTAGTAAGGTAATCTGGAAGTGGCAATTGATTAGCCATGGAAGATCGAAATCAAGAAATCAAGAAGGAAGAATGAGCGAGAAAGAATGGAATTTTCAGAGTGAAAAGGAAAATGCAGCGGAGGTGGATACCAGAGCCTAGATACGCTCTGATACCATATTACTAAAACTGAGAAAAATATTCATTGCATTAATGAGAGCATCTTGCTCATGTAAATATATATATACAAGGTTATCAGCCATAAGCTGAAGAATAAAGTTAGCTATCAGAAACTAACTAACTAACAAACTAAGAACGGCTATTAACAAGCGAATAACTAACTAACAAATCTTGAAACTAATCACGTGGGTGCAGTTGAACTGGGAGGCTTGTTATCAGTTTGTGAAGCTGCTTGATCTATCTGTATTAAAGAGCAATGGCATCTTTCATATGCATTATATGTGCCAGCATAGAACTACAGATACAATAGTGATGCTGAAAATTGATTTGAAAAATCTTTCACATTTGCTCAGCAAACTTTGTACTACAAGGTTTAATAGTGATGCTTCAGTGATTGAAAGGATAAATTTTTACTAAAAGTTAAAATGCATGAACCCAATCCATTTCAGTCTTGCATGGATGTATAAAAAAAAATCTTACTTGAATAGGGCCAGCAGCTATCAATGAGCTATCAATGCCACCTCCAAAAACCCTCCCATCAGGTTTAGCCAATGAAACACTCAACATGCCATTTTTAAGATGTGTACCACCAGTGCCACTAGTGTAGGTACATGATCCCGATAAAGTTAAAATCTCAAAGAGGCCCTGTATGTAGCAGAATAAATAAATAAAAAATCAAAAAATGAAATACAAACACACTAAAAAGAGATGAGATAGCTGATCTATACTTAACATGCAAAATTTAGGTGCCTTCAAATTTGAAACTTCATTAATGAAATGATAAGAAGCAAAAAAGTTATAATAATAAAGGAATAAGGGCTCATCTCAAGTTTCAACCGCCTTTGCATCTTCTTGTAAGCAGCGGGGGGCACATCCACTGCTTTTGATCTATATGTCTAAGAGAATATTTAAAATATATCAGACTATCTTAAGAATATTATCAGTCTTATTTTTAATGGGTTGGAGTTTGTTACTAATACTTTACCTAATTAGTAATAATTAGTAATATAAGTATATTGTACAATATTTCAATACTATATTTCACTTTACTATTGTTAGTGGTCTCTTTCTTTTCCTTCTTTTCTTAACCCTGAATTATAATTTTTTAACACAAGACAAAATCGAGATATCGAGTAAAAGTAATGAAAGATTCACATGAATATTATTATTACATACGATATATGTTTTTTATAAATTGTACCTCATAGCTCAAAACACCACCAGCAACACCTGCTTGGCGAATACTGACACTTGATACAGCACCGGTGGCAGAAAGTATGCAAACTGCAAGAGGCCCTTTCTGAAAAAATGATAATATCATGCTTACTACATCCTGAAAAAAAAAATTAAAAAAAACAAATTACGTTAATAACAGATAAAATAGATGTGAAACAAAGAAAAACATGAAATTTGAACAACTTTTTTTTACGCATTATGTATTACATCTCCAGGGTCCACAACTAGCACATGAGGTGTGAAGCTTCCCCCAGCTGTTTCTGCAACAAACCCACCTGCAAAAAATAAAGTTTCAAGCATGAGAAACATATCAAATTGCCTGCACCAATCATTTAAAACAAACCGAAGTTGTTACAATATAAATATATGCATTGCTAATGCAAGAAAGTCTCATTAGTATTTTTGAGTTTTTCAGCTCCACCTCACTAATGATTTATATGTTTTATTATATACATTTTAAATTAATTTAACTTGTTTATGTTAAATGTATTTTTATTATACTATACCCAATGATTGAATCCTTGGGAGTTGAACATATAAAAGAGGGGGTAAATTTAACTTGCTTAACTGTTAGAAAAAACTAAACCCCTGATTTTATTTAAGGAAGAAAGTTATCTTCAGTTTTAAAAATAACACAATGCACCCGAGTGTGGTGGCTCAGTTGGTAGCACGGGGACTGAGTGGTGGGAGAGTACCTCGGTTCGAATCCCACAACACCATCTGGGAAGGAGCATAAGTACCGTAATCCTTGGACTCGCACCCGAACTCTGGATTAGTCTCATAGGCGGCTCAAAGAGTCGAACCCGTGGTCATACCAGAGGGTTCTGATTCGGCTGAAAGAGGTAATTAGAATCCGTTTCAAAAAAAAAAAATAACACAATGCAATGCCAGAAATACATTGTGTTATGTTTAAAGTTGCAAAAAAATTTCTCTCTTCTCAGAATTGTTGGCTGATGTGGCGGAGAAAAAAAAAATTTCGATTACAACTATGTACTTCCAGAAATACATAGTTATTTTGTTAAAATGGAGTAGAAAAGAGTTCCCGAAATACAGTTATTTTTTTAAAATGGAGTAGAAAAGTGAAACCATTTATTTAATACTTTAACTTCTTGGAAGGATTGCACAATAATTTTTTGAGGTAAAGCAATTTAAACATGAGAGTTACCAATTAATATTTTTCATTGACTTCCATAATAGCATTGATAACCATTTATGGATTAAGTGACATTATTCAAACAATCACATAAAATAAGATAAATTAGTGCATTATCCGTGCGTCGCACGGAGGAAAAAATATCAAAAAATTTGTCGGTGATCGTCGTTGATTAATCTCTAAAAGAAAGAACATGTCACTAGTGTTTGTGTATATTCATTTCCAAGTCTCAACTATTCATTTCCAAACAAAATAAAGCTGAAAGTGTTTGGTAATTATGTCATTTTTTAAGCATAAAAGCCAAAACTCAATCTCCTCAACGACAGAACTGTGCAGAAGGCGCCAGAAGAATATTGTTCTTTACTCTTTTATTCATGCACTTCATGGCGATGCCTTTTTATTGGAGACTTGAGGTTTGGATTTATTGGAGACTAAGAGATGAGAATCGGTGAGAATGGAGGTCAAAGCCAAACGTGTTGTATTTTACATATGAAGTTGGATGTAGTGAAAAAAAGATTATTATTTTTTTAAGAGTTTCTCTGAAAAATGATTGGCCCCACTTCTACTTTTAAAGAGAAGCTGAAAATAAGCTAAATGAATTAGAAAAACAAAATTTAAAACAAAAATTATGAGTTGAGTTGGGTTTGATTCTGAATTTATTAAAACATTCAACCTTATCCTGACAAAAGAAATAAAAATAAAAAAGGGTTTAATATCTATTTATATTGTATAACATAATTTTATTTCTTATATATATATATATATAAATAGATGAAATTTGTGTTTTCTTTCTTTTCTTCTTTTTACATAGTCGCATACTCTGTACACTTTTATGTATATATAAAAAATAATTTTTAAAAAAAAATATGGTCCTTTTAGTAGTTATATTTTTTATTTAAAATTTAAATTAAAAAAAAATACCTCTGGTTCTCCGTTTTTATATTTTTCATTGTTTATTTTTTTTCTTACTTAAATTATTATGTGATTTAAAACGATTAATCCCTAATTTTATATTCTAAATGACAAACATCCCACCCATAAAAAAACAAAACACAATCATTCCAACAGGCTACAAAAGTAAAAAATGCACCTCTTGCCTGCTCACAAGACAAGACAAAACAAAAATAGACAAGAAAAAATTTCATGCAAAACACAAATAAAGAAACTCACCAATGGAAGCCAGAATCTGCAGTTTTCCGGAACCAGGAGGCCGTCCTCGACTTCTCTTGACAGAACTTCCAAAAGGGTAAGTGGAAATGGCTGGTGGCTCCGACTTCAGAGACAAGATTTTCCCATCACCATCGTACTTCCGAGGCCTCCCCCTTCCCCTCTTCACAGGCTGTCCCGAACCAACAGCCTCGGACTTTGCCACCGTGTCCGAGGCAGAATCAAGTCCGACAGCATCTGGTACGGCGTTGTTGCTATTGTTGTTGTCGGAAACGGTGTGCATCACTTCCTCGTTTGTAATGGGTGATGAATTCAGAGACTGAATGAGTGTAAGGTTCTGGTCCTCCATGAAATACACACCCTTTGAGATTGTGAGGTTATTTCCACAACAAAGGTATCAGCTTTATACACAGAGCGTGTGTGTTTGCTGGGTAAAAAAAATAAGGAGAAGAAGAAGAAAATTATGATGAAGGAGGTGTTTGAACACGCAGAACTGTGCAGAAGGCGCCAGAAGAATATTGTTCTTTACTCTTTTATAATGTAAGAAATTGGGATTTTCAGAATTCCATCTTAGAGATGGTGAAAAACTGAAAATAACTCTTCATTTGATGTGATATATCTTTTTTTTTATGTATATATAAATAAATAAATAATAGGGGACTTATTTTTGTTTGTATGCCATGAATGCCCTTACCAGATTGAAATTTGAGGTAAAAAAGGACAAAATAAAATTATGACTAATTATTATTATTATTATTTCGTATTGTTATATCTGATTTTCTTATTATTTGGAGTTAATATATATGGCGAAAGATGGAATCTTGGGGATTATGAAAATGAAATTAATTTAATATATTAGATTTTATTTATGAAGCAATTACAGTTTTAATTGATGTGATTTTAAAAAATTAATTTTTTATATTATTTTAGCAGATTTTTTTCCAAAATATTATTGAGCACGTAAAATATTAAATATTTTTAATATGGTATTAGATTTTTATTTTAGGGAAAACAATTCTCCGTGGCTTAATTCATAAATTAAAAATTATAACAAAATATATCAAAATCCTATTAGTATAAAGTTCAAACGGTGTATATTATAAGCCCCCACGCAAATTGTATTTTTAATACTAATAAGATAATATATGTTAACACTTTTCTTTTTTTAAAAATTTCTTAAATAGGTTTTTATTTTTTATGTGAAAATCATTTAATTCTTTTTTGAGGATAAAATTTCGAATTTTTGAGCAGCTTATTATAGAAAAAGATAACAAATTAAATTTATAGGCATTGGTCTTGATTCCTAATTAATTTACACGTAAATATTTCAGGTTAAAAACATCTTATATTTGTTTTATTTTAAAAAAAATTAAGAAGAAGAGAGACAGCTTGCAAGAAAATTTCCTGCATTTTGCATATTGGAGCCTGGCTGTACCAAAATATGTTGCTGGTTACAAACGGAAAAGAGGCCATACCATATTATTAGTTATTACTTAAAATTAGAATAATAAAAATTTTAGTAATTATTTTTATTTAAAAAGGTAATTCATTATCATTTTATATTTGAAAATGGACAGAAAAAAGATTTTACAATATCCAATAAGATATTATATAACTATAACGGAGATTGTGATAAAAACAATTAATTTCTTATTTTATGCATGATAAAAACGATTGATTTATTGCGCTGCAAATTTGATATTTATAATTTTATTTGTATTAAAAAATATTAAATACAGCTATTTAAGTTTGTAATATACCGTTTACTTTTATATATTTTTTACGTCAATCATGTCATCTGTTCTTTTTGTAGATCAAGCAGAATGGTTGTCTTATTGTGTATGTATAATGAATATCCTTTTTTATTTTCTTCAAAAATTCCTCAACTCACCTATTCAGAAATTTCATATTTTTGAATTGGTTGAATTGCTATTCCCAATTTCCCTAATAGAAGAAGCAAATTATTTTAATTTTTGACTTTTTATTACTCAGCAAATTAATGTTGATTAAAAAAAGAAGATTAAAGGGCATTTTATTGAAACTCAAATGGCTATTCAGCTTGACAGTTAAACCACTGTTATTGTCAAGAAATATGGACGAGTCCGATTGACCCATACACAAACTGCAGTCTAACGCTAGTTTCATACTTACATTATTTTGGAAGAGATAGATCCTCTCACACCAGTGTCAAATTTGAAATTTGATACTGATGTCAAAGAATCTTATCTACCTCATTTTGGAATAACGTTTTACATGCGTTTCTTCATTTTTTTTTTCTTACATATAAATTAAAAATATATATATTATAATAATTTGAATTAAATGTAAAACACGCATTTAAGATGTATTTTCATAAGTTACATGTTAAGGAATAAAATATTAAAATTATTAAATAAAAAATATTAGCATTTAATATATATACCAATTTATAAAAATATTTAATGATTTCTTCTTTCGCGAATGAGTTAATGTGAAAAATAAAATGATATTTTTATTTCGTAACGTTTTAGGACATATATTAAAAAAGAAAATTGTTACGAAGAAGTTTCATGTGAAAGAATATTATCTCATTAAACTTTGGGTTATGTTTATCTCATTCAATATTGAGATAAATCAAATTACTACACATATAATAAAGATGGGTCACACCTCTATTTTTTTCTCTTTTCAATTATTTGTGGATCTCTCTTATAATTTTGTGTCACTAACATGAGATAATCTATTTTCATCAATATAAGAAAAATATTTTCCTTAAACTTTTACCAAAAACTTAAAAGTGGGATTTACAAATCGAGGGAGATATACTTATCACTATTTTTTCTTATCACTAAATCTTAACCGTTGATTTGCGTCAATCTAACGGTTATCATTTATTGGATCACACTTATTAGTTAATTAGGAGTAATTAATAAATGTGACGTAATAAATTATAAACGTTAGATTAGCAGAAATCAATGATTAAAAATTGGTGGTAAAAAGTGATAAAAAAAGTAGTAAGTACAATTTATTCTTTACAAATAACCTATTAATAAAATATTACTGCCAAAAATTAGATTTAGGACTTTCTATTTTAAAGTTTAATGTTTCTGTTTTTGCTGCAGAAAACAAAATTTTACCACATTCACATACAAGTAATTGAATCTCACTACTCTTTTTCTTTCTTTTCTTTACAATGAGATCTACTCATTTTTATGTGAGTGTGACAGAAAAAATTCTGCAATAAAAACAAAAATATTTTTTCCTTATGGCACATAGAGATGGCAAAACGGGCTCAGCCAGCCGGGGCGGGCTGAGTTTTTCAAACCCGCCACCTGCCAAGCTCGCCAAGCTGCCCAGGCTGGATTTTTTAAAAAAAAAAAAAAAAATTACTGTAAAATGTCATGGGCTTGGTGGGCAACTCGCTTCGCCCGCCCAAACGAGGTGGGGCGGGACGGACTGAGTTTTCTTGCCCACTTTCAAAGGCGGGACGGGACAACCCAATTTTTGACGAGCTTATGGCGGGCTGGCGCGAGGTTGGACGGATAGCCCGCTTTGCCATCTCTAATGGCACATTTGGTTCCTAGATTATTTTTATAGGAGAATCATATAGATTGGGGGGTGGGGGGTCACACTTTTTTTTATAACCGATCGTAATTATCTTTTTGGGACAAATAAGATCCCATGGTATTTATAAAGATTCGACTCTTTAAACTGTTTAGGGGACTAATCCGAAATTTGGACCATAGTTTGGGATTATGATATTTTTGCCTCTCAAATATGGCATTTAGTGGGACTCAAATTGTAATTCTTGTCCTCACTTTGGTCGGTGCTACTTCAACCAACTCAGCTGCCTCGCATGGATTATCTCACGCTTTCTCTCTCTAAAGTAACCAAGCCATCAAGTAAATAAAGGATCTTAATGGAGATCTGAACCCAACCAGATTTAATGGATTGGTTTGCAAATTAAATTAGTTTTTCATTTTTTTAAACCAGTTTTTTTTTAAACTGATTTGAAACCGATTTATGGTTTAAAATTGGTATTGAATTAAAATTGGTTTATGGTTCAAAATTTATTTTATAATTGATTTAAAATTTAAGTTTAGTTTTCTAACTGATTATGAAATAGCTTTAAATCAAAATCAATTTCATCTCTTATGACAAATTTAAGTTTTTATGTGAAAATCATATATTTTGAGAAGGCCCACTAAATTACTAATCTGTATAAATAATATAAAATGAAAGAGAAAAAAAGTCATAAGTAAATATATCTAAAAAGTAATAATTTTAATATTCATAAGTAAAATATTCAGGAAAATATTTACTCCATTTATTGCTCAAAATATATATAATGTTAATATTCAAAGTCATCCTCATTTATTTAGCGAATAATATTATTTTACATATTTATATCTATTTTAATATTAAAATTATAAATGTTATTATATCCAAAGTCATAAATATAATGTAACGTTTATAATTTTAATATTGAAAAATAATAAAATATCTTACTATACTCAGGAAGACATCTCCATTTTAAATAAAGTGTATATTCTTGGTTCAAAGAATTTCTTTGTGGCTTGATATTCACCTTCTATAGATGTTGTATTTTATTTACCATGTTATCTTTTTACTATAAAAGTCGGTGGGTGACATGGTTGGGATGCATTCACAATCAAAGGTTTTAATACTTGGAAAAGAGTTTATAGTGAAAAGAATTGTGTTTTTCTAAGTCACATTGGAGATGTTCTTTGTTCATGACATATAATGCACTTATCTCATGTGTAGACTTAGGGTGTGCATGACAACCTTCTCGAAATTAATTTTTTTTTTAATTTTTCTTCCCAAGAAAAGAAATGGATAGAAAACTTGTTTCATAAACTAGTTTATTTTTTTGTTCTCGGGATGAACCGGTTCAACTTTTTGTATTGGGGAACAGAAAAAAGAATCAAAAAATTTCTACTTTTTTGTTCCCGAGCACAAAATGAGAAATATTTATCTCTCTCAATCACTCTCCGCCTCTACCATCATTTTCACCACCACCATTATCCCGACACGGCCACCGCCACCATCGTCGTCGCCGTCGTACTACCAGTGTCGTCGCCAGCAGCACCACCACCACCATGATGATGTCACTGCCACCATCACCACCGCCTCCATCCATCTCTACCACCATACCACTACCATCATCGTCACCGCAACCATCACCACCAGCATCGCAGCCACTGCCGCCTTTGCCATAACCATCACCACCACTACCATCACACCACCATCACCAACCACCACCATCACTATCGCCGCCACCAACTACCACCATCGTCGTCGTAGCCACTGCTGTCACCACCATCACCACGCCATTGCCACCGCCACCACCGCTACCATCATCACCATCGTCGTAACCACTACCATCAACACCACTACTATGTCGTCGCCACCATTGTCGCCACTACCACCACCACCACCATCGTTGCAGCCACTGTCGTCACCACCACCACCATCACCACCACTACCGCCGTCGCCGCCACCACCATTACCGCCACCACTGCCGTGACCACCACCACCATGTCATCACCACTACCT